CGCCGGCACACCGGGTTCTAGTCCCGGTCGGGGCGCCGGATTCTGTCCCGGTTGCCCCTCTTCCAGGCCAGCTCTCTGCTGTGGGCCAGGGAGTGCAGTGGAGGATGGCCCAAGTACTTGGGTCCTGCACCCCATGGGAGACCAGGAGAAGCACCTGGCTTCTGCCATCGGATCAGCGCGGTGTGCCGGCCACAGCGCGCTGGTGGCGGCGGCCATTGGAGGGTGAACCAATGGCAAAAGGAAGACCTTTCTCTCTTTCTCTCACTGTCCACTCTGCCTGTCAAAAAAAAAATTAAAAAAAAAAAAAAGGAATGGAATAAAAACAAATGAACTACTGACACTCTCAGAAAGGTTGATGAAACTTCAAAGCACTACGCCACATGGAAGAATCCAGACACAAACAAAAACCAGGGAACCTGCATGATCCTATGTATACAAAGTGTGTAGGGGCGGGTATTTGCTGCAGTAGCTAAGACGCTGGTGGCATTGGCTACATTCCATAGTAGAGTGCCTGGGTTTGAGTCCCAGCTCCACTCCTGAGTCCAGTTTCCTGTTAATGTCCAGCCTGGGAGGCAGCAGGTGATGGCTCAAGTACCAAAGTCCCCGCCACCTACTTGGGAGACCTGGATTGAGTGCCTGGCTTTTGGCTTCAGCCTGACCCAGCCCCAGTGAACCAATGGATGGAAGCTCTCTCCTCCTCCTCCCCCTCCCTCTGAATTTCAGATACATTCTTAAAAAATTAATTTTTTTTGACAGGCAGAGTGGACAGTGAGAGAGAGAAAGGTCTTCCTTTTTTGCCATTGGTTCACCCTCCAATGGCCGCCGCGGCTGGCGCGCTGCGGCCAGCACACCGCACTGATCCGATGGCAGGAGCCAGGTGTTTCTCCTGGTCTCCCATGGGGTGCAGGGCCCTAGCACCTGGGCCATCCTCCACTGCACTCCCTGGCCACAGCAGAGAGCTAGCCTGGAAGAGGGGCAACAGGGACAGAATCCGGCGCCCTGACCGGGACTAGAACCCAGTGTGCCGGCGCTGGTAGGTGGAGGATTAGCCTAGTGAGCTGTGGCGCCGGCCAAAAAAAAAATTAACTTTTAGAAAAGGCAAAGCTATTGTGATAAGAAGCAGATTCATGGTTGGCAGGGATTGAGAACATGGAGGTATTGACAGCAAAGAGGTTTCTGATGGAAACTTCGGGGATGGTGGGAACATTGTCCATCCAGATGTGGCTTCGTGACTATATGCATTTGTCAAAGCTTGGATGGGTTACATAAAATTGTAAATTCTATAAAGAAAGCAGATTAAACAAACACAGGCTCAGCCTGACAACCATAAATTTTTTTTAAAGGATGGCCTGGTGCATCCTGTTCAGTGACGGAGGCTTGGCCTGCTCTGCAATGTCCAGTGACAGGGAGAGTCAACAGGGGGAGGAGGCGATGGGCCCATTCGATTGGACGCCTCTGTGGCAGCCTTGTCATGGCAGCAGAGGGGTGAGGGGCTACGGACTGGAAGGAGCTGAGGAGTCCCCTGGGGAGTGAAGAGGTGGAGGCAGCTGGCTAAGGTTGTTTTCCCAAGAATGTGTTTGTAATAGGTGCTAAATAAACACGACCTAAGCTCTCCACTTAGAAAAGAAATGCAGATAAACAATCAGACCGGGGCCCCTCTGCTTGGTCCAGTCTGATAGCCTGGAGGGGCCCAGGAGAGGGAAGTGGTGTGTTACCTTTGTAGAAAGCCATTTTAAATCAAAAAGCTCCCTAAAGCACACACTCTTGGAGCCAGCCACTAGGGATTCATTCTAAGGAAATAGTTGGACAGCTGAGCCAAAGGGGAGGTCTGGAATTTTTCGGTCAGTAGAAAAACCCAGGTATTCAGCAACGAAGGGTTGGCTGAGAAAAATAATGGCTTATTCATTCCAGAACTTACCTTCAGCCTTTTTTTTTTTTTTTTTTTTTTTTTTTTTTTTTTTTTGACAGGCAGAGTTAGACAGTGAGCGAGAGAGACAGAGAGAAAGGTCTTCCTTCTGTTGGTTCACCCCCCAAATGGCCGCTATGGCCGGCACGCTGCACTGATCCAAAGCCAGGAGCCAGGTTGCTTCTCCTGGTCTCCCATGGGTGCAGGGCCCAAGCACTTGGGCCATCTTCCACTGCCTTCCTGGGCTGAACTGGAAGAGGAGCAACCGGAACAGAACCAGTGCCCCGACCGGGACTAGAACCCAGGGTGCTGGCGCCGCAGGTGGAGGATTAGCCAAGTGAGCCACGGTGCCAGCTACCTTCAGCCTTTAACGCGTCTTGATCTGCTCAGTAGATTGGGAGAGGAAGAAATTGTATAAGTGGGAAACAGGTTGGGAGGAGAGTTTTTCCACACATCCTCTACCTTGTGAATGCTGCCCCTCGTGAGTCTAGGACCTGTCCAAAAGTTCAAAGCACATTTTTTAAAAGATTCATTTTTATTTATTTGTAAGGCAGAGTTACAGAGAAACAGGGGGAAGACAGAGAGCTTTCATCTGCTGGTTCACTCCCCATTTGGCTACAACAGCCGAGGCAGTGCCAGGCTGAAGCCAGGAGCAAAGGGCTTCTTCCAGGTCACCCACATGGGTGCAGGGGCCCAAGCACTTGGGCCATCTTCCTATGCTTTCCCACACATTAGCAGGAAGTTGGATTGAAAGTGGAGCAGCCAGGACTCAAACCGGTACCCATATGGGATGCTGGTTTGGCAGTGGCAGCGTAACCCTCCATGCCAGAACACCGGCCCCCAAAACAAATTTTTAATAAAATAAAAATTATGATCTAGAGGCAAACATTTGATGCAGCAGGTGAGACACTGCTGGCGACATCCACGCCCATATCAGAGTGCCTGGGTTTGAGTCCCGCTCCACTCCTGATTCCAGCCTCTGGGTAATGCACACTTTGGCAAAAAGAAGATGATGGCTCAAGTACTTGGGTTCCTGCTACCCATGTCAGGCGGGAGACCAGGATTGAGCTCTGGGCTCCCGGCTTTGACCTGATCCAGCCCTGCTGTTGTGGGCATTTGCGGAGTGACTCAGTGGCCGGGAGGTCTCTCTCTGACTCTTTGTTTCACTCTCTCTCTCTCTCCCACTCAAATAAAATAAAATAAATAAAAATTTTTAAAAACTATGATCTAAACCGGTGCCGCGGCTCACTAGGCTAATCCTCCACCTGCGGCGCTGGCACTCCAGGGTTCTAGTCCCGGTTGGGGCGCCGGATTCTGTCCCGGTTGCTCCTCTTCCAGGCCAGCTCTCTGCTGTGGCCCGGGAGTGCAGTGGAGGATGGCCCAAGTGCTTGGACCCTGCACCCCATGGGAGACCAGGAGAAGTACCTGGCTCCTGCCATCGGATCAGCGTGGTGCTCCGGCCGCAGCGCGCTGGCCGCGGCGTCCATTGGAGGGTGAACCAATGGCAAAGGAAGACCTTTCTCTCTGTCTCTCTCACTATCCACTCTGCCTGTCAAAAACAAACAAACAAACAAACAAACAAAAAAAACCTCTCCACACTCTCCTGCCTTGTCTGTAAGTCTAAAATGATTTCATAATGAAAGGTTTTTTTTTTTAAGTTTTAAAAAAATGTATTTACTTTTTGGCCGGCGCTGTGGCTCAACAGGCTAATCCTCCGCCTTGCGGCGCCGGCACACCGGGTTCTAGTCCCGGTCGGGGCTCCAGATTCTGTCCCGGTTGCCCCTCTTCCAGGCCAGCTCCCTGCTGTGTCCAGGGAGTGCAGTGGAGGATGGCCCAAGTGCTTGGGCCCTGCACCCCATGGGAGACCAGGAGAAGCACCTGGCTCCTGCCATTGGATCAGCGCGGTGTGCCGGTTGCGGTGGCCATTGGAGGGTGAACCAACGGCAAAGGAAGACCTTTCTCTCTGTCTCTCTCTCTCACTGTCCACTCTGCCTGTCAAATATATATATATATATACATATATATATGTTTAGTTTTTAAATTGTGGCATTGTAGGATATTGGTGGATGCGAGCAACAAGAAGTTCCGTGGTGAACGGAGCTGGGGACGGAGGGGTTTCAGGGACAGAAGAGCTTTCCCTGGCCAGAGAGGGGGCCAGGAAGCTGGGGGAGGCTGGAGACCCAGCGCGTGTGGAGGGGCAGCGCTAGAACAGGGAGGGGAGGAAGGGCGTCGCACCTGCTTGGGGGGAGAGAATGAGCAAAGCCAAGGGCAAAGGTAACTAAAGTTTACAGACAGGAGAACTCGTTCCTGCCCACCCACTTGAGTTCCGTCTGGGTCGCAGGAGGCGGCGCACCTGCTGAGGGTTAGGGAGAGGAGGCGTGGGCGGAGCTTGTGGGCAACAGCGCCTGCCCGGGGTGCCAAACTGAGTCACGCAAACCAAAGGATGCTGGAGAGCAGGGTTTCCCCGGATCATCCCAGAGGAAAAGAGTCTCCCGGAACTTGTTAGAATTAGATACCCTCTTGGTCTCCAACCCGGATCTGTTACAGCACCAGTCCACAGAAGAGGCCTGATCACCGTGTGTAAAGGCGCCCCAGGCGGTTTGTAGCTGGAGGATGTCCTGAGGAAGGCTAAGGGAACTGACCAAAAGCCACGCCGCTCAGGGCGCAGCCCGAGGACCGGCAGTGTCAGCCTCCCTCCAGCGGGAGCTGAACCGCGCTTCTCCGTGACGCCTCACAAATGGGAATCTGCACCTCCCATTGGATCCCTCGGTGATTCCCGCGCACAGCAGAGGCCCGGGAACCTCATCCAAGTGACCGCGGCTCCGCGGACGCACTAGGGGTCACTTGGCACAGCTGTGTGATCGTCCCCAGCAGGCTGCTGGGCCCCTCCGGCAGAGAGAGAGAGAGAGAAACCGCCCCTGGGGACTGGTCCAGGGTTGTGAGGGCGGGAGGGCAGGCAGGTGTTGGAAAAGTGGCTGAAATGTTTGCACGGGAGGCCTAGGGAGGGAAGAAGGCTGGTGAGTTGGAGCTGGGGGGGGGGGGGGGGGCCAGAGGTGTGGCGATTGGATAAAGAGCAAGGTTAGAAGGAGGCAAAGAGAAGCAGCGTGGAGGGACGGGACCTTTACTGCAGGTGCAGCCTCGGGAGTGGGTGGCTGCTGAGCGATGAAGATGGACGTTCTTGGAATTGAGGAATTCAAGAAATTCTGAGAGCCATTCAGAGTTCAAGTAGGAGGCCCTATGCTTGTTTACCCAGCCGCTGGTCTTTGGAGACCCTTGTGCCTTGGGCGGAGCTCACTCTCATCAAGGATGATGGGCATATAATGTGGACAGGGCCGGGAGGGTATTCCAACCTCCGACCACTGTGATTGGTTCAGATCTGGGCATGTGACCCAGATAGGACCAATCAGAGTCGATGCACGTAAACTAGGGGAATATAAGCTGGTCTTCTTGAACATGAATGAGCTGTGAGAGCGATGGCAGCTTGGGGGCAGTTGTGGGTGTCGGAGGCATCTTTCTGTCCCCTGGAGCAAGGCCTCAAGGAAGAGGAAGCGGGGGACCGGAAATGGAGCCCTGGGACTGGCTGAACACCTGGGTCTGTCCGTGCTTAAAGCGAGACGCATCTGTAGCGGCTTCATTTAGGTGAGTCGCGTACTTCCCCACTCCTGGATCAAAGCCGATGCCAGCACCCGAAAAATCAGGAATGAAGGAAGAGGAGAGCAAGAGCTGGCTTGCTCAGGGGATCTGGGTGATCGTGGGGAAGGATGAAGTCGCAGACGCCAGCAGCCTCAAAGGAGCAGGGCAGCAAAGAGTGGGAGGGAGGGAGGTGGCAGAGAGGGCCCTGGGGAATGTCGGGCCCACCTTGAGGATGCTGGGGTGGGGGAAGCAGCCCGCTAGGGAGGCAGGACGCTCAGGATCAGGCGCCTGGCCACTGGCGGGGCCCCACCCCGGCTGGGCTGGGCCCCCTCCTGGCCACATGGGCCGGTGACTGAGGCCCCCACTCTCTGTTCCTGTCCCTTTTCCATCTTTCCTTTGAGACTCAGGATACAGCCTTTGGAACAAGCTGGCTCAGGACAAACCACGGACCCCTTTACTTCCCAAGCTGCATCCATCACTCACAAAGACCTGGAACATTCTTCCAGGATCTCCAGCCTTGGCCGAGAAAACAACATCCAATTTCCCACCTGGCGAACAAGCTTCTTCCCTTCCCCAACACCTCTGCCGCGTGGGAGGAGGTGGTGGATGCCTCCCCCACCCCCCTCCCCACCTGGGAGGGGGAAGGTCCCGGAACCCCATCATTTCCATAAACCGTCCCTGAAGGCTGGGCTAGCATTTGGCCACCCACTCCCCAAATCAGCACCACAAGGGGTGCTGACGTCCGTCCATCCAGTGTGGCGACTTCTCAGCTCGGCCTGAAGTTGGGAGATCCTAGATGCCTGCCTTGAGAACTTTGTGATTTTTTTTTTCTTTTAACCTTTTTATCAGGGCATTCCAAAGGACATTTCTCTGTGGGTCTAAAAGTTCTTGCAGCCAAGACTCTGTCTCCAGGGTAGCAGGGAGAAAGAAAACCTGTAGGCTGTGGCCCATTCAGCAGCCCCTGGAGTGTGGCAAGTACCTGTTGTCATAAAAACACCACCCAAACCCCAGCCAGCAGACTCTGCTGAGGATCTCTCGTGAGCTGGGCCCTCGAGCAGACCTGGCATCTGCCGTGCTCACTTTATCCTCACAAGGATCGTGTGCAGCAGATGTTAGTAATGTCTTTACTGATGGGGAAAGGTAAGCGACTTCCCAGAGTGACACGGTAGTCAGTGTTGGGACTGGGGTGAGAACCAGGCATTCTGACCTTGGCGCTTTAAAGACGAGTACCGGGCAGGTGGGTGGCAGGATGGGCGGATGGCCACATGAGTGGGTGAGTGGATGAGCACTTTGGAGGGGCTGGAGGTGAGGAATCCGTGTGGAGGTTGGCAGACACCTGTGGGCCGACAGGTGTTGGCGGGGACCCATGGGGACCGGCCTCACTGTCTCGTCCGAGTGCCCACTGCTGTTCTTCTCTTGTCCTGTTCAGGTTGAGCATTCTCCCGTTGCTGGGCTAGGAGATCCTCGGGGCTCGATTGATTTCCCTGTGTGTGCAAACACAGCCCAAAGGAAGCCTGTCGTGGTGGAGTCGTGGCTGGTCTGTGTTTTCTTCTTTGTGCTTTTCTGAAAATTTCCGCTTTCCCAGTGTCCGGCAGGTATCTGTTATTTGTGCTGAGCGCTGGTGGCTCTTGGACAATCCCATTTGCTTGCTTTTTTTTTTAAGATTTATTTCTTATTTATTTGAAAGGCAGAGTTACAGAGATATACAGAGAGACAGAGAGAGAGATGGGGAGAGAGAGTGAGAGGTCTTCCATCCACTCCCCAAATGGCCACAATGGCCAGGGCTGGGCCATGCCAAAGCCAGGAGCCAGGAGCTTCTTCACCGTCTCCACATGGGTGCAGGAGCCCAAGCGCTTGGGCCACCTTCTGATGCTTTCCCAGGTCCATTAGCAGGTAGCTAAATTGGAAGCAGAGCAGCCAGGTCTTGAACCAGCGCCCATAGGGAATGCTGGCATCACAGGTGGCAGCTTTACACGCTACACCACAGCACTGGCCCCACATTTGCTTTCCGAGTGGCTTTGGAGAGTGCACCTGCTCCCTCGTCCAGGCCTGGCCAATCGCAGCGCTTCACTCCTTTGCCTGCAGTGTTTGCTTCTAAAAGAAGCCCACCGCCCAAGTATGTTCCAGGCAAGCCCACTCAACAATTGTGTTTTCCAGAATAATGTTAAGGGAGAAGCTGTTTTTCTTCCAGGGCTGTTGAGAGACACAACGCATGTCTGGGGCTTCAGCATCTGTCTTGACACAAGAGTGGAGCTGACACAAGGGGATGCACAGATCAGAGTTGGGAAGCGACAGTTTCACTCTCACGTTTTAAGTCCCTGGATCCAGCCATACCTGAAGCTAGAGACCCTTGGACTTCTCAGTTCTGTGAGCCTAAGTCTACGCTATTTCATTTTTCTTAATCCAACAAGAGTTACTTCTGTCACTTGCAAACAAGCCTCCTAACACAACATTAATTACTTTTGTATAAATACAAATAAAAATGTATTTTTAATGATGTTATTCCAAAGAACAAAAGATAGCTGTCAGACTCCTGAGTGGAGGCCAGACTGCAGATTTGTCCAACAAACGCCTTGCAGGTCGGCTCAGAGATAGGAGCAGCCCAGCAGGGGCAGACGGGCAGACGGAACGGGAGCGCCGTAACAATCAGTTCTGTCTCATCTCCTCCTCCCGCTCCTTCCACTTGCAGCTGGGCACAAAGAGGCTCCTTCAGCTGGCAATTAGAGCACGTGTCTCAGGAATCCGGCTCATCCGGGCCCTTCTCCACCCTGGGCTGGTCCTGCCCCGGGAGAGGAGCTGGAATCCTTTGTCAGTGTGCTGGGAGGTGGCCCTCGACGCTTGAGCCGGAGTGGGGCCTGGCTGGAGACTTCCCAGGGCGCTGGCCATTTCTCAAAACTGTCTCCCTGGAGGAGGGCGGGGACAGAGCCAGAGAGAGAGAGAGAGAGAGAGAGAGAGAGAGAGGTTTGCCCTGGGTATTCCCCTGAGCTCCAGCTGCTGTTACCGGCCAGGCAACACCTGTGTGGCTCCCCACTCACCATTTTCTTTCTTTTCTGAGGTTTAAAATTGTTGTGCACTGTGGTGCAGAGGCTACCGCTTGGACACCTGCATCCCATATCTGAGTGCTGGATCGAGTCCCCGCTGCTCCACTTCCAACCCAGCTCCCTGCCAATGCGCCTGGGAAGGAAGCAGAAGATGGTTCAAGTGCTTGGGCCCCTGCCACCTGGCTCAGCTCCAACCATTTTGGGAGTGAACCAGAGGGTGGAAGATCTCTCTCTCCCTTTCATGCTATCACTCTGCCTTCTGAATAAACCTTATTTTTTTTTAAAGATTTATTTTATTTACTTGAAAGACAGAGTTACAGAGAGAGGCAGAGATAGATACAGAGGTCCTCCATCCAATGGTTCACTCCCCAGATGGCCGCAACAGCCGGAGCTGCACCAATCCAAAGCCAGGAGCCAGGAGCTTCCTCCTGCCCCCCATGCGGGTGCAGGGGCCCAAGGACTTGAGCCATCCTCCACTGCTTTTCCAGGCCTCGCCAGAGAGATGGATTGGAAGAGGAGCAGCCAGGACTAGAACCAGGGCCCATATGGGACGCCGGCGCCTCAGGCCAGGGCTTCAACCTGGTGCGCCACAGCGCCAGCCCCTAAATAAACCTTTTTTTTTAAAAAAATAAAATTGTGTAAAATCATGAACTACAAGAAGGCGGCATAAAAGACATATGAAGGTTCTTCAAAAAGTTCATGGAAAATGCATGCTATGAAAAAATTATGCATGGATTTCTAAAAATTTTGCACCAAGATAAACTTTTTTTTTTTCCATGAACTTTTTGAAGTGCCCTCAAATATGTGGTGTATAAAAATAGGAAAGGAGGCAGGTATTTGGCCTGCTGGCTAGGATGCTGCTTAGACACCTGGAGTATTTGGTTTCCAGCCCCAGTTCTGCCTCTGCTCCAGCTTCCTGCTAACGTGCACCCTGGGAGGCAGCAGGTGATGCTGAAGTCACAGGTGCCCTGCGCCCACCTGGGAGACCCGGACTCAGCCTGGTCTAGCCCAGACTGTTGGAGGCATTTGGAAGGTGAATCAGTGGGTGGAGGATCTCTATGACTCTGCATTTCAAATAAAATAAATCAATATCAATAAAGTGTGCACTACGATGGCATTTAGTACAACCCCACTGCCCAGCTTCAGCACATTTTTTAAAAAAGATTTATTTTCTTTATTTCAAAGTCAGAGTTACATAGAGAGAGAAGGAGAGGCAGAGAGAGAGAGAGGTCTTCCATCCGATGGTTCACTCCCAAATTGGGCGCAATAGCCGGAGCTGTGCCGATCCGAAGCCAGGAGCCAGGAGCTTCCTCCAGGTCTCCCATGCGGGTACAGGGAGCCAAGGACTTGGGTCATCTTCTACTGCTTTCCCAGGCCATAGCAGAGAGCTGGATGGGAAGAGGAGCAGCCGGGACTAGAACCGGCGCCCACATGGGATGCCAGCACTTCAGGCCTGGGCTTTAACCCGCTGCACCACAGCGCTGGCCCCATAAGTTCATTTTAAATGGAAACTTTTTCGCTACTGCTGGCTCCTTCCTCTGTCCGGAACCGTCTTCTCTCACATATATCTGAACGCATGACCCCTTCAAGTTGCTCAGCTCACACCCTCTCCAGGTCTCCCCTGACCAAATAATGCTGGCCCAGCCCCCTGGCCCTGCCCCTGCTCTGTTCTGTGGTTTTGCTTGGCCACGTCCGTAGCCCTTTTTGTGACAGCCACGTAAGTGACTTATTCCTTATCTCAGTGGTCATTATGTCTGCCCCCCCCCCAACCCTGGTAGTACAAAAGTTCTATGTGGGCTGGGAGTTTTGTCTGCTTGGCGTCCAGACGTGACCCCAGCTCCTACAGCAGTGTGTGGCACATGGTGAACCCTGTGGGAAGCCGAATAATTCCCTCGGTGTACCCCAAATATCCACATATAATCCCCAAAACCTGTGAGTGTTACCTTCCGTGACACAAGAGGAGGCTCTGCAGGTCTGATGTGGCAAGGGTCGTCAGAGGGCGAGACCACCCTGGATTATCCGGGTGGACCTCAAACACAATCCCAAGTGTCCTTGTGGAAAAGAGGCAGAACCAGAGACATGAGCACAGAGCTGCTGTGCTGGCCCTGAAGATGGGGGAAGGGGTCAGGTGCCACGGAAGGCCACATTCTCGTCTAGAGCCCCGGAGCACACACAGCCCTGCCGGCACCGGGAATCTCACCCCGTCACAGTTGTCTTAGACCTCTGGCCTCCGCAGCCCTCACAGAGCTCATTTCTATTGTTCGAAAGCCCGGCGTTTGTGGTTATTTCTTACGGCACCCATAGCAAACTGATGCAATGCTCAACACACATCTGTGCAATGAATAAGCGCTTGTTCACCGCGAGACTAATGGAGACACCGGGATGGTTTACAGCAAGTAGACGGGAACTGAGCAAACAAGCGCGGTGAGAAAATGATGCTGTTTAATGCGAGTTAGGCGGCTGGAGAGCTGCGGGCCCTGGGACAGTGCGTCCTTTGTTCAGAAAGGGAGATGAACAGGGTGTGAATGCTGAAGGCTTGTGGGCGCCGAACTGGGGCTTTAACTCTGCACATTTCAAAAATTGTTTTAATTGATTTATTTCACTTATTTGAAAGGCAGGGAGAGATAGACAGAGCTCCCAGCTGCTTGTTCATCTCCCAAGTGCCTGCAAGTGCTGAGTCAGGCCAAAGCCTGAAGCTGGGAGCTCAAGTCAGATCTCCTGCATGGGTCACAGGGACCCGACTACACGAGCTATCACCTGCTGCCTCCCAGGGTGCACACCAACAAGAAGCTGGAATCAGGAGTGGCACTGGCATTGGAACCCAGGCCTTCCGATCTAAAATGTGAGTGTCTCAACCTGGATCTTAACCACTGTACCAGACACTCACCCCTGAGTGTGCACATTAAGAGAAATGGAATGGGCAGCTTATTCCACCCATCAGTGCTATTTATTGCCCAACTTGCCAAGACAAGGGGAGACTGGAGATGGCAACATTTGTACCTGGTCTCGGCTGAGTGGAGGAAGGGAGAGGGCAGGGTTGGGCACAACAGTTAGGTGTGTTCACCGTCTGAAGTCATCACCATAGGGAGTGATACCTGTGTACCAGGCGACGGGGAGCCCCAGGTTCTTTGGCTCACCTGCAGATAGAAATTGACAAGAGGCCAGACAACAGCTACTGGGGACTTCTCCAGTGCAACGGACACAGCGTGGTGGGAAGCGGTTCCACCGACTGGCACGGAGGGGAGCTGGGCGGGGGTTTTCTCGGTGGGGAGGTGTGGCAGTCACCTGCTCCCCCCCACCCCGGGCATGGGACACTTCAGCTTGTCCCTGACTCTGTTCTCTGCAGCTACACTTCCTTCTTCTTCTTCTTTTTTTTTTGGACAGGCAGAGTGGACAGTGAGAGAGAGAGACAGAAAGAAAGGTCTTCCTTTGCCGTTGGTTCACCCTCCAATGGCCGCCGCGGCCGGCGGGCTGCAGCCGGCGCACTGCACTGATCCGATGGCAGGAGCCAGGTACTTATCCTGGTCTCCCATGCGGGTGCAGGGCCCAAGCACTTGAGCCATCCTCTACTGCACTGCCGGGCCACAGCAGAGAGCTGGCCTGGAAGAGGGGCAACCGGGACAGAATCCGGCACCCCAACCAGGACTAGAACCTGGTGTGCTGGCGCCGCAAGGCGGAGGATTAGCCTAGTGAGCCGCGGCGCCGGCCATACACTTCCTTCTTTTGCACAGCACACGCCTTCCAATGGTGGTGTTGCTCGCTTCCGCCAGCCCCAGGGGGTCACAGAGTGGTGCTACTGGGCTATTTGGGGGCATGCCTGCAGGTTGGGAAAGTCCCTACTGGGGGAGCAAGGGGTCTGCAGAATCCTTGCTCCTGATTGGTTTGGAGCTGGAGCTGGACACAGTCAGCTCAGGAAATGGACACATGTCAGGCCTGGGGGTGGGGCTTGATGTGTGAGTCCTCTTTCTTGAGTCTCCCTTCCAGAGGCATCCAAGCAGGAAGTGACGGGATCTGCCCTAGGGAGCAGCCTGGTGGAGGGAAGGGAAGTGGGGCCCTGGGAGGCAGGGGCTGGAGGAGGAGGAGAAGGAGGAAGAGGGGGAGGAGGAGGAGGAGGAGGAGGAGGAGGAGGAGGAGGAGGAGGAGAAGGCAGCAGTGGTGGCCTTTTTCATCTTTTGTCCTGGCCCTTTCTCGCATTCTTGCCACTTCTTAAACCTCAGAGCCCTGGGGTCTTCGTTTTCTACTCCCTGCCCCCCACCATTGGCTTCCTTTCTCTCTACAGTGACCCAGTGACCCTTGATGACCCCCACGTGGCCCGGTCTGTCCCAGGAGAGGTTGGAGTCTTTATTCACGGTCTCCCCTTGGGGTGCAGGTTTGCAAGGTGCACATGAGCTTGAGGCGCCTCTCATTCATTGGGGGGATGGTCTGTGGGTGGTGGGACACTGGTGTCTGGGACTAGGGGGCCGGATGGGGTTGTCAGAGGAGCCATGAGGACAGCAGCACACACTAAGCACCAGCATCCTTGCGGAGTCATTGTCCTTGGGATTCAGGAACCCCTGGCCTCTGTGGCTGCCCACGAGGGGGTCTGGGAATGAACCTTCTCCCCCTCCACGATCTGGGGCGAGAAGGTGCCTGGCTGAGCAGGCTGGACCTGATGCCAGAGAGTGCCAGCGACTTCCTCTGGGGCAGACAAACTTGGTCTCCGGGACAGGCCCAGGGGACTGCCTTTGTGGTCAAGTGCATGTGTGGGCTCCGGCCGCTGGCCTGGGCCCACCACTGAACTCACAGCGTGTGCAGGAGGAGAACTCTCCATGCCTCTCTCTGCTTCTGTATTTGCAAAAGTACCTGAGCTGTGAGAACTCCATAAGCTGCCTGGGTGGAAGTGCTGAGCAATTTCAGGCAAACAATGAGTGCTCAAGAAATATTAGCCATTAATATCATTGTTGTTCTTGTTTTCATTAGCCTCAACACCTTTTCATAAATGCAACACCAGGCTCAGTCCTGCGTCAAGCTGGGGACAAAGAGCTGACACCATTCTGTCTCTCACAGAGCTCATGTTCTAAGGAGAGAGTCAAACAAATGGATACAAATATTGAGTCAAACAAATGGATACAAATATTGCATCAGGGGCTGGCCTTGTGGCCTGCAACCCAAGTATCCCATATGGGCACCAGTTAAGAGTCTTGGTTGCTCCACCTCCGATCCAGCTCCCTGATAATATACCTGGGAAAGCAGCAGAAGATGGCCCAAGTCCTTGGACCCCCCACCCAAGCGAGAGACCCAGGTGGAATTCCTGGCAGCTGGCTTCGGCCTAGCCATTGCAGCCATTTGGTGAGTGAACCAGTGGATAAAGATGATGTCTGTTTCTCTCTCTCTCTCTCTAATTCTGCCTTTCAAATTAAGTTTTCTAAAAAATTATATCAAAGGGTAACAATGCTATCACATGGACGTGCAAACTCTTGGGGCAAGGGAAGGTTTAAGACTTGACAGAGGTGGCCGGCGCCGCGGCTCAATAGGCTAATCCTCCGCCTAGCGGCGCCGGCACACCGGGTTCTAGTCCCGGTCGCCCCTCTTCCAGGCCAGCCCTCTGCTGTGGCCAGGGAGTGCAGTGGAGGATGGCCCAGGTGCTTGGGCCCTGCACCCCATGGGAGACCAGGAAAAGCACCTGGCTCCTGGCTCCTGCCATCGGATCAGCGCGGTGCGCCGGCCGCAGCGCGCCGGCCGCGGCGGCCATTGGAGGGTGAACCAACGGCAAAGGAAGACCTTTCTCTCTGTCTCTCTCTCTCACTGTCCACTCTACCTGTAAAAAAAAAAAAAAAAAAAAAAAAAAAAAAAAAAAAAAGACTTGACAGAGGTGGTGACGTTTGCTCGTGGCCTGGGAGTGCACTGCGGGAGCCACGGGTGTGCACACCTGCGTGCAGGGACAGGAGTAGGCAGCTGTCGGTCCCAGACGCTCCTGGCTTCACCTTGACACACCCAGCAGCCACCCAGCCTCCCTGGAAGGGTTCCTGCCTGCGACTTTGTGCCGAGACTGGCCAATTCTATGAATTCGAGGGCACAGCTCCCCCACCCCAGCCGCGGGGAGGAGGAGGAGGAGGAAGCTCCTCTCTGGGCAGTGCCCGGGGTAAACCATCCACTGCGGGTTTCCTGTCGGCACCGGCTGCAGCCACCGGAGCCCAGCACGGACAGAAGCCAGGCTCGAGCCCTCTGTAACCCGATGCGGGCCGGTAGCAGCCCTGGCTTCTGAGCCCACTCCTAAGGGGAGCTCCATCCAGCTCGGGGTCACAGTGACCTCCCTGCTGGCTGGGAGGTACCTCCTGGCAGTGCCAACCCTCAGGAGAGGCAGCGGGGCAACCACAAGGAGCAGAGAGGTGTCCAGGCAGGGCCCCACAGCCCCTCTCTCCCAGAGCCTAAAATCTCCGCCAGCAGCCATCCCTGCAGGGGTCAGTCCTGACGTGCTAACCTTTCCCCTTCCCTTTCACCCTGTAGCCAGGGGGTTGAGCCTCCCCCGTTCTCACCCAAAACGACACCGACCTCACCTGTAAAAGCTGCAGACTCGGGTTAGACACAAGATGATGGAGTGATACCGCACGCAGGCTCTGCAGCCACACTGCCTGGGTGCAAGTCCCAGCTCTGCAACTTCCTAGTGGCTCAGCTTAGCCAAATAACTGTTCTATGCGGCAGCTTCCTCGCCTGCGAAATGAGATAGCCACGCCTACTTAGCACGCGGGTCTTTTCCTGGAGAGGGTCAGGGAAGGTACACCTCAGGCTCTGCTGGCTTGGAGGGTCTGCGTGCTAACCACTGAATCCTGCCGTTGTAGCGCCCTGGCAGCCGCAAGCAATGAGTGGGCCTTGTTGTGTGCCAATAAAGCTTTATTTATACACGTTGAACCTCATATCATTTTCATAAGTCAGAAAATAGTCTTGATACGTTGTAGCTATTTAAAAGTGCAAACAGGGGCAGCCATTCGGGAGAGGTGGTTAAGATGTCTCTTGGGACACATTCTGTACACTGGAGTGCTGAGTTCGAATTGCTTCCAATTCCAGCTTCCTGCTAATATGCTTGGAGGCAGAAGAGGATGGCCCAAGTACCTGCCCCCCGCCACCACGTGGGAGACCTGGATTGAATTCCTAGCTCCTGCCTTCAGCCTGACCCAGCCCAAGCTGTTGACGGCATATGGAGGTGTGAACCAATGGATGAAAGATCTCCTCTCTCCCTCTCTCTCCCCCCCGCCCCCTTTCTCTGCTTTTCAAAGATGAAAATAAATAAATAAATAAATAAACAAAAATTCGAAGCGAAAACAAAACATTTCTAGCTTATGGGCAAAACCAGGATTTGGCTTCGGGGCTGTAGTTCACCATCCCCTATGCTAATCTGTGTTAAGTGCTTAAAACAGTCCTCGGCACCCGGAACACCTTCCACGAGTGTTAAGACGTCTGGCTGTCATGGTGCTGGCGGGCTGCGGGTGGCAGGGAGGGGCTGTCCGTGGCAGCTGGCTTGTTGGTGAGGGTAGTGGGGGGTCTGTCCCGGACTGGTGCTGGGCTGATCCATAGAATAGCTGGGCAGGCTATGGGTGCGCAATCCTTTATGCCCTGGGCAACCATTGGGCAGGAGTGCCCAGCGGTGCCTTTCAACTGGTTCCTTTCTGTTGGGTAAGGGACCAGGGCACTTTTTACGTCTCAGAGCATGGCCCCACCCTTGTCCTCCCCCCACCCACACCTGCCCCCCAGCCAGGACGTTCCTGCCACACCCCGGAGCTCCTACGCGCCTCTCCGCACCAGCGCCCTGGGCCAGCTCCTGCCTGAGCGCACAGAGGACGCCTCGCCCCAGAGCCAACGACAGAGGACAGTTTATTTACAAACTGCCCCGGCTCCAGCGCGGAGGCCGCCTCCTGTCCTTGGCCCCGAGCAGCCACCGTCCATTCCCCTCGGGTCACATCCTTGGGCGCAGCTCAGGCTGCGGGATGGGGTGATACCCCGGACCTGGGGCTCTTCGGGGGTCCTTCTCTCTCCAGGGCTCGCTTGCAGCCGGCGCGGCTCCAGGGTCCTGGTCTCTGTCTCTGGCGCCGCAGGACACAGCCTCATCTGCGGACCCCTTGAGTGCAGCTGTGCGGGGTCCCGCGGGTCGCCCCGTACATGCCGGGGCCGTGTGGTTGTTCACTGCAGGCGTCCAGTTAGTGCCCGGAAAAGCCCAGAGCGGGGGCAGGAGGCTCCCTCTCAGACCTTGGCTCTAGGTCCCGACTTGATCTTCTCTCTTCCCACCCCTGTCTCAGGGCTCATCCGGCAGCCGGGTGTCCGCGAGCTGCTGGGAGAAGGCCCTCTCCAGGCGCAAGGTGTTGTACCTGGGGGGCGGCGTCCCGGGCACCTGGGCCCCCGGGGCGGGAGGCAGGCTCAGGGCGGAGGTGAACGTGGGCAGGTCGTCGTCTACCTCGAGGGCGGGGTTCTCCTGGCCCTGGGCGCCGGAGGGCGCCTCGGCGCTGGGCGCTGCCTTCCTCCGGGCCCACCACTCCTTGGCTTTCTGCCACTGGCGGCGGGTGACGATGGAGAGGGAGTCGATGAAGAAAACTTCGATGATCTCGATGACGCAGACGACGGAGCAGCTCATCCACAGGCCCAGCTGGCCACCGAAATTGGACAGAAGCATCTCGATCTGCAGGGGACGCCGAGACACACCATCAAGAGGGCCCTGCTCCCCCACCAGCCCGGGCAGGGACCCCAGTTCCCAGGGGAGCCACGCGCTAGGTGCTGCCCCTGAGCAGGCCTGGAGAACAAGTGGGAAGGCTCCCCCCCCCCCCCCCCGCATCCCCCAGCTCTGCCAGTCTGCCCTGAGGCCTGGCTGGGCCTTGGCAGCCCTTCTATTTATTTATATTTATTTTCATTCTGTTTGAGAGGCGGAGACTGAGAGATTTCACCTGCCAGTTCACTCCCCAAATGTCTGCAACAGCTGGGGCTGGGTGAAGCTGGACCCCGGGAGCCTGGAGCTCCATCTGGGCCTCCCACGTGGGTGGCAGGCACCCAAGCACTTGGGCCATAACTGGCTGCCTCCTGGGGTGCACGGTAGCAGGATGCTGCATTGGAAGCACCAGGCACTCCCATATGGGACGTCGTAGTCCTGAGTGGCCTCGGTGCTGTGCCAAATGCCTGCCCCCTCTGGCAGCCCTCCTGTCTCGGGCTGGATTCCCACAGCCTGCTCTGCTCCCCGCAGCCTGTCGGAGGGGAACCCGTGGGGACCCAGGATAGGCCCTGGAAGGGTGCCACTCACACTGTTGGCTGGGCTCTCCATGATGGATCTCTGATTCAGGTCTTTGTAGAATATCAGGAGCTTGGCCAAGTCTGTCCTGCGGAAATTCCAAACGCCGGGTCCAGTAAGTCAACAGCCTCGATGTCTCCCTCTGGCCCAAGCCCTCGGCACAGCCCAGGCTCTGAACTCCCCAGGGAGATGAGGACTCGGACCACGGGCTCCTTCTACATCCCCAGAGCACACATCTCCAACGTGGGTCCGGTTCCCATTCATTCATTCATCAAAAACTGTTTCCTGACCTCTAGACTACCCCCACAGCGCCCCTGTTCTACATTAAGCTTTGACATTGGTAACTGATTGCAATCTGAAATATACACAGGAGACCAGAAGATAATGTAAATGAGGGAGGTGGGCCAGGGATAAGGCTACAGTGGTAACAACCATAATAGCAGCTTGCATTTATAAGGTACTTCCTGTGTTGCCAAGAACTATTGTTAAGAACTTGACGTGAATTAATCCATTTAGATCTCACAATGGCCCTGTGAGTGTCAATGTCTATTTTAATACCCCCCCCCCATTTTTCAGATAGAAAAACTGAGACACAGATTGGTTAAGTAACCTGCCTAACACTGCACAGCTAATCTTTGGCCAAGCCACTTTTCAAACCCAGAGAGATCTGGCTTCAAAGTCCATGTTCCTCCCAGCTGCACTACGCTGCCTTCTGATAGAACTACCACGAACTAGAAGGTTCTTACTCATTCCAAAGGAGCAGCTATGACTCAGCTGTTGGAAGTTTTGCAAGAATGGAGAGTCACTGGCTGTTGGTAGAGCTTTCGATATTTCAGGAAGAGCTGGAGATAATGGGTTACTTTGAGAAGCTAAATTTGGCCTAGTTTGAAACAGTTGGCTAAGCAGTTTGCAAACGCTTGGCCCAAGTCTCTGTTTATCACTAGGCTGAATGCACTGTGGGGCAGAGACCACTTCTGCGTGGTCTTCAGCGTCGACTCCAGCACCTCCCATGGCACCTACTGGATGCACAGTAACTGCTGGGGGACAGCCTGGCTCCCACTGGGGCAGGCACAGTGGCTGGGCACCGCGGGGACAGTGATGGCAGAGAAACGTGCATTCCCAGGGCGCGGGTCACAGATGGGCACCTGCCCTCTCCTATCTCATCTCCACCCGTGGGGGCTCATGAACTGAGGCCTGGGGGATGTTGCTGAAGCTCCCGTGGAAATCAATGCCTGCGTGGACAGCTCAGGTGGGACTAGAAGCTGCAAGGCTGAGGAGTCTTTTTTCAAGTGGGTCAGGGTGCCTCTGTGAGCCACGAAATAAAAGTAACTTTTACAAATTTACATAGAATGGAACATAGGAGATTGCGTCCAAAGAGACATTCAAAACGCCTGCCAGCTGTCTGGTACGGTGGGGTGCTCACGAGTGAGAGAGACAAGTGTGCTGAGACCAATGGGGATGAGTAGACGAGGGGGTTTGGAACAGTTCATGGAAAAACGAAATGCGAAGGTAAATTTATTCAGATGCAAAAGTTTCGAAGCTCATGCATCTGAGGGGTTTCAAAGACTTCAAGGAAAAAGCTATGCATAGATTTCAAAATATTCTGTGCCAAAATAGACTTTTAATTCTGCTTTCCATGGACTTTTTGAAGTCCCCTCATTCATTCAGTCAGCCCTCGTCCTCTGATTTAACCAACCGTGGACAGCAAATATTTGAGGATTGGTAACGAACATGTATGGGCTTTGTTCTGGTCATTATCCCCGTAACACTGGTGTGTGATGACTTACACAGCACTGACATTGTGTGAGCTGTTGTAAGTCATGGACAGGAAGGTGTGCAAGCTCACAAGCAAGTACTGTCATTCTACAGAAGGGACGTGAGCGTCTGCGGATGTTGGAGTCTGAGGAGGTCCAGGACCTGTCTCCGATATGGGGGTGGGGGGTGGGGACTGTGAAGACCACTGCGGCCATGCTAGTGTGCACTGTCTGAAGGTGCTTCGTGCATGATAAGGAAGTGCCGTCTCCTGCTGTCTTCCAGTTAGGTACCCGACGGGCCACAGTGTAAAACGAACCTCACACTGTGGGGCACGGTCCAAGAAAAGTTTGAGCAGGGTTCATGATACAAGTTCAATAAATATTTGTTGAATACACGATTGAGTGAATGAAAAGGAGAGGGTTTGGCAATGAGGAAGCGAGGGAGGAGGCCGGGGCCCCTGGTGGGCAGAGGCAGAGGAACTAGGGCAGAGGCAAACTTACTTGTTGAGTTTTTTGTTTATTTGCTGGCCTTGGTCCCAGGTGAGAACAGGCAGCAGCCATTTCTGCAGTGGAGAAACACAGAGTGGGCCTGGGGATGCCCAGAGAGGCCGGGGGCCCCCGCGTCCTCCATCCCCGGCTACCCCTTCCTCTGGCCCTTCCCCCTTCCCCTTAGTGAGACAGCTCCCTCCTCCTGGGACCGATGCCCCCATCACCACCACCACCACCACCACAGGACACAGCGAGAAGCTCACGCGAGGACAGCGGGCAAATCTCACCTCTGAAACTGCAGACGGCCACTGCGCCAGGCTGGTGGTCAGCGCCCATTCCTTGAAGCTAGGGGAGAGGGGTACAGTGAGCAGGGGTGGCCTGGCCCAGCCCAGTCCTGCCTGTGCCTCCCTGCAAGTCCACTCACCTGCAGGATTGCTTGCACACTGACTGGCAGCCCAGCTCTTCCTGGACAAAGGCCTGGTACAGTTGGTAATAACAATACACTGGGGACAAGAGAGAGGGGAGAGAAGGAGCCATGGGGTCACAGTCGCCTTCCTGGAGGTCCCTGCGTTGCCTGGAGGCCCCCGTAGTCTCATTGTAAGTATTTCTTGTCCCACTTTCTAGGAACATTGGTCCTCTGGATATAAATGCTACTTTGTGTTGTTGGGAAGGTAGTGACAATTAAGGACATGAGTTGGGGGAGCAGTAGCCCTTGGAGAGGGTCCACCCCTATTACTTCCTGGCCATGTGGCCTT